CCCCAAAACCCCAAAACCCCAAAACCCCAAAACCCCATTTATTCAAATAGATATAGAAATAAGCATGTTACAAAATGAGATTATCATACCCACTTCCGACCTGTAGATAGAGGAAGTGCTGACCTTCTCTTACTGCTGGTAGATGTCATTTTTGAAGGGATCGAGCAGGCTACTGGCATAAAATGTCTCTTAAAGTTAACTCTCATCCTCAGATTTTTCCTCATCAATGTGTTATCTTCTTTATCGGGGAAAACACATCTTGGTGATTTCAACTTGAAGCTAAGATTTTCTATCAACTTTTTAGGCTTATCTTCCTTAAAACTTGTAGTGTCAAGAGATGACTTATTTAGCTTAATTTTCTATATTTTTAGCAAGGATGAGATACCCTAAAGAGCTTTTTATTTGGAGTCATAGTCTGAATATGAGATTGAGCCATTGGAGATCTAGGCCTCTCTCCTAAATAAGGTCCCAATGCTTCCTGTGTATTTTTGGGCCTATTTTGGTTTAATAAGGTAATTTACCTTTGGGTGTGGCCTGCAGGATAAAAAGAGGACAATAATCTCCGATTTCTGCCATTTTCAGGATCTTTAGTTTCAAGACTATTAATAAAATTAAGAATCATACGAATGAAGAATGTCGATCGTCCGCTTAATTTTTGTTCTGGCAGACATTCCTCTGGCGCTCGTTGGAGAAGAGATTCACTTTTTCTCAGTTGTTACATGCTAGAAAGATTATTTATTATTCTGTACAGTGCGATTCATTGAAGAAATTGTTGAGTGTGTGGCACAAATATCTGAATTATTCCTATTTCTATCAGCTTTTAACTTACGATATTCTCAAGTGAGGGTTATACTCTTTATCATTTTTCTTAAACAACAACCTTCTACTGGTAGGCTAGAAGGGATAAAATACTTTCTCTTACTTTCTGTATATCAGGCCCAGAGATAAATTTCTTTGGCTGCTGGCTTTGAAAATTCTTTTGTCTTTTCTGAGACTCGGGCTTTTTGATGCAATTACTTTTACTAATAGCTCCTAAAGCGACTTTTTCCAGTGAATCTCGAAGCGGTGAGAGAAGTTCATTATTTTTGGGCTCAGTGCTCTCTTGTTCTCTGAATTCTATTCTCTTACTAATGCTGAAACTATTGAAAAAGAGTTCTTCCATTCTATTTCGATTCAACTTGGCCTTATCCATAATTTGGTTAAGGCAGTTTAGGCTTCATAACTTATCATAAGCTTTTTCCTTAGTAAAATAAAAACACTGCAATTCTGCTGATTGACAAACAGCATTATATGAATGGGTCTCTTTAGAGTACTTTGAATACTTTATGAAGGAGTCTTCAATGCCAATAAACTGACCCTCACTTATGGTCTTGATCTTGATAACCTTAGTGCTATGCCAAGTGTCAGCAAAGTATTAGGAAAATGGAAATTTCCGATTGGAGAATAAGGTTTAATAATGTTTAATTAATTTAGTGATTCATGGATGAAAAGCTTACTTTAGTCCTTTTGAATTTGCGAAGAATTTCTCCCTCCGAGCATCAGGCGAGCTTAGATATAAAATCTTCTTTCTTGAAGTTTTACGCTTGCTCTTCTTTGATACCTGAATTTCTTTGGTAACTATGAAATAGCATTAAGAATCTTACTTTGAGCTACTCCTTGGTAGATTATATAAAATCCTTTACACTCATCACCTTCGGAGAATACTTTCTGATTTCTTTTAAATACTTTGAGATCGCAGAAGTAGAATAATTTCTCAATTGACCTGAGAGTCAGATGTTCAAATATTGTCATGGATTTGAAGAATCTTCTCCACTCATTATTTCTTTCCTCTTCTATTTTTCTGAACACCTCTTCAAATCTGGAACGACTCAAGGACGCAAAGTGGCAATTAGAGCTACAGTAGATACTTTCATTCGCTGGAGTATTATTCATCAAAGCGTTGCTTCCCAGAGCATCTCCTTGCTTCAGTCGAATAAATTGGTACTTCTGGTTCAAGAACTCTTGGTCAGCTATATATGAATTCTTTAAAACCAAATGAGTTAAAAGGAGGAAATTCCGTAGAGTATTAGGCTTACATTTCTTAATTCATGTATGGCTTTTGTCTGTTATTTTCCGAAGTCTCTTGACTTCAATGTTTTCATCAAATTCTTCACTACAAGAATGTGTAATTTTAAGTTAGAAGTTAATTAGAGCTTACCTTATACAGATAGTTGCATTTCCAATGAGGAGGATATAAAGACATTCTACAGGTTCCCCTTCCTTGTACACTAGCTTTCCCTTGGGTCAGTAAACATGTTCCATTGATTCCACTACGGATCACCCAGTGAGGCTTACCTAGCAAAGTGTATCCTTCCGAAGGTATGTTCCTTTGGGAGAAAAACTTGACTTTCTTGAGGTGCCTACAGACCTCTTTTATCTTATCATAATCTCTCTTCTTAGGGTTCTTGCTGAACAATTTTAGCATCTCCTTTATTGTTGTTTAGAAGAATTAGTAGAGGAAAAGATAGTGGAAAGCTTAATCAGCGGAGTGAAAAGGAGGAAACTCTTTTGAGTAGCAGGAATTTGGAGGGCTAGGGATATTAATACCTTCTCTTCAGGAGATTTGTATTTTGGTCTCTGGCAAACGCTGTATTCCATGTTGATGAATCTCGAGTTAAATATATATTTTGTCTTCAGGTTCAGAAATTTTGATAGGGGTTTTGGGGTTTTGGGGTTTTGGGGTTTTGGGG